AGGGAGCTCTTTTCTTACTTTTTGTTTCAAGATGCTTATGCATTCAGGTTAGATATTTGATATTTCACTCATGTTCCTCTCGAGACAAGGGAGATAAGGTAGTTATCCTAAAGTGAAAAGAACAAGGCTGCAAGATTGTTTACAAGAGAAATTCATAGGTACAATGAGAACTTTGGGAGATTTGCATTTCATTTCTCCACTTCCCTGCTAATACAAAAGCTGCAGAAAATACCCCAGATTTACTAAATCGGTCATTTCTGTTGGCTAGAAAATGTCTATTTGGTTTTGGAGTCTGGAGGCAAATGGGCTGACCTTGTGTTCTCCACTTTTAGACACAGGACGTTTCAGCTAGAAGCTGTTAAATCTTTTGGTATTTTGCCTCTGCCTTATGCTGTTGGGAAACATGATCAGGGTGTGCCATATGAGGCTAACCAATTTCCCCACAGCAGAGGCTACAGTTCTGTGAGGGGGTTTTCTGCTACAAAAAGTGTCTAGTGAAACCACAGGCTGCTCCTGAGTCTTGTGTATACAGTAAGCTGTGGCCTCAAAGCAGGCCAGTACTGATTTTGTATTATCAGCACAACTGCCTCAAGTAAGTGAACTCTTTATCCAGGGAGTTGTTATCAAAAAGGTCAAGACAATATCTAAAACTTGGTGGGTCCGGTAGGTCTCACCAGTTTGTGTACATACGTTTGTTTCATTAGCTTTTGACTGAAACATGGTAGCACCAAGTTTAGGACACCAATTTGAAGCAGACGTGGTCCTATAAGACTTTTATCTCAAAAGTAAAAACACTATTTGCACATAATTTGTATGAACCCAGTAAATGTGTAGCTGAGTGAGGAAACTCCTCTCCATCATATTGCTGGAAACTGGATACTGCTGGGTTCTAAAACAACCTGGATATTTTCTTAAAAATATTTTCTTAAAAATTATGTATAACCATGATACAGTTCAATGGGTGAAGCAGCAGTAAAATGGCCTTAGGATAGAAGACATCTCTACAGCACACAGAAGATGAGAAGATGAGAGGGAGGGTAAAAGGCCACGCCAATGCACACAGGCAGATTTCGACACAAAGCAGAAAGGGAAATCTGATGAGGGATGCGATGAGAATGGCAACCTGGTTAAAGTGGCACATGGAGAATGCTTAGATTGAAGCATCTCGAAGCAACATAAACAGTAAGATGCATTGCTGAAGGCCAGAAAAAGGGTGCTGGAGCAGAATAAGAATGATAAATGAAGAGACAGCTAAAATCTGGCTTTTAATTTATAGCTGATGGATGTATTGGATTTGCTTGGCAAGGTTTTGGTAGCCAGGGGCAACAGGGGTGGCTTCTGTGAGAAGCTGCTAGAAGTTTCCAGGATGGACCCGCCACTGTCCAAGGCTGAGCCAACCAGGAATGATGGTAACGCCTCTGTGATAACATATTTAAAAAAGGGTGAAAAATAGTTACTGGGCAGTTGAAATAGCAGCCAGAAAAGTTGAAATTGCAGCCAGAGAAGAGTGGAGTGAGAATGTGTGAACTACTCTGCAGACACCAAGGTCAGTGGAGAAGGAGGAGGAGGTGCTCCAGGTGCTGGAGCTGAGGTTCCCCTGAATCCTATGGTCCCCTTGCAGCTTATGGAGGAGATCCACGCCAGAGCAAGTGGATGCCCAAAGGAGGCTGTGATCCCGTGGGATTCCCATGCTGGAGCAGGGTCCAAGCAGGGACCTGTTGACCTGTGGAGGGAGAGCCCACCCCACACTGGATCAGGTTTTCTGGTAGGACTTGTGTTCCTGTGAGAGACTTATGCTGGAGCAGCCTGTGCCTAAAGGACTGCACCCTGTGGAAAAGTGACACATATTGCAGCACTTTGTGAAGAACTTTGTGTTGCCTGTGGGATGGACTCACGCTGGGGAAGTTCACGGAGGACTGTCTCCTGTGGGAGGCACCTCATGCTGGAGCAAAGGGGAAGGACCCCTCTCCCTGAACAGTGGCAGGAACAACCTCTAATGAACTGACTGTAACCCCCATTCCCATCTCTCTGCACCACTGGGATAGGAGGTAGAACTTGGAAAGGAGGGAGGGGTGACGGGAACATGTTTTTAAGGTTTATTTTACTTCTCATTCTCCTGCTCTGATTCTGTTAAATTTAATTAATATCTCTACTTCTAGTCTGTTTTGCCTATGATGGTAATTGGTGAGTGATCTCTCCAGGTCCTTCCTTATGTCAACCCATAAACTCTTTGTTATATTTTCTCTCCTCTGTTCAGTTGCAGAGGGGAGTGATAGTGGCTTTAGCAAGTACCTGGCATCCAGCCAGGGTCAACTCACTACAATGGAAATAGTGTTGTGTTTAGTGGCAGTGTATTTGAGCATTCTGTAGAACTTGCAAGATTCAGTGAAAACTGGGATATGAGGACTCATAGACAGTTGACTCGAAAGAGATACCTGACTTGTAGGTCTGAGGAAAGGTTGCTAGCCTGGATCTAGAAGGAAGTATGACTCCATTTGACCGTACTGAACTGAAGTTTGTGTTAGTCATTCAGAGGGAGCACAGCAACAAGTTGTGAAGTGCAGTGGAAGATCCTCAACCTAAACAAACAGATGATGCTTCGGTTAGGGCAAGGAAAGTATCACAAAAGTCAAGATACCGAGACAAAAAATGGCAGTTAACTGTTGCATGTATCAGTATACTGATTATGAGTCTGGCCAGGGTGAAGTTAGGAAAGATTGAGAACACTAATGCAGTGGAATACAAGAAGAAAAAGATATATCTATAATTTGGAAAGGTGGATATTTTAAAAGCAAAGTTGTATATGTGGATAGGATTATCTCTTTCCATGTCTTTTCATGATGAACTGAGGCCAAGTTTATTAACCCCTGAATGTAACTGATATAGCATGAAACAACATGAAAAGTATGACTAAAGAAATATCAGATCAAGAGAATCTAAGAATTGATTATAAGCATCAGCTGAGGTGAGTGAAAATGAAAGCTAAATCAGGAAGAATAAAGTAATTGAAATTCAGAACAGGTGAAGTCAGATTTCATATGTATTAATTCCCCATAAAGGTCAGTCTGAAATTGCACATTTTACCTGTGGTACAAGGATTTGACCTTGGACTAAGTTCTTCTAAACTGTAGTTGTACATGCAAACTACAGAGCTGTACTTTCCAATTAAATGCCAAGTACTAAACTGTATTTAGTGGAAGGTTTTGATGTGGTTTGAAACCATTTGTGCATTTCTTTGAGACTTGAGAAAGTGGAATGCAAATCACATATGCACTCCAGACTTCACTAAGTACTTTTTACATTTGTGTACCAAATGCTGGAAAAGGGACCACTGAACTCTTCCCTATATGGTGTTCTATGGTCTCCACTGACTTTTGGGGGCCAATGGACAGCTATCAGCTCTCACCCCTGCTTACAGACCACTCTGCCACTCTGCTTTTAGAGTGATACATCTTCTACTTCACCTGCTGAGGCCAGGACCCCCTGGCCTCATGTATGTACATGACATGCTGTCATGTACAGTATGACCTTCTGAAAGTACTCTAACCTAGTTTATCTTGCACACTGAGTTTGTCTGAAATGCCTCCTCCCTCCTCCCCAATAAAAATAATAGTCTTCAAGTTAATTATACACTGAGAAGTCACACACTGTGATAAGGAAAGCAAAGAGTCCGCAGCTGAGGCAGATCTTGGAGGCAGATCTATCCTCACCCAAGCCAGGTTACAACTTTGGCTTCACTCCATTACTATTACTGGAACACAGCACAGTCAGGAATTTTGAAATCGCATCCAAAAATCTCCCACTTGCAGAGTCTGGGATGAGTCTGGGCTACCCATATATGCCCATATGTGCATGGATATTTGCATGATGACTTTATCTTTGGGATTTTAGCCCTACAGCTATGCTATATAAGGCTTCTACCATAAAAATCTCTTTGTTGCATATGGTTTCTGTGACACTGCAGTGAAGAAACCCACTTTCTCGGGAAGTTTTTTCCCCTGTGCACGAGGAGGGCAGTTGCTGTGGGAACTGCACTGCCAAATCCATGTGACTAAATTAAAAGCACTATGGCACCAATTAACACCAAGCCTTTGGGTACACCCCTTTATGAATCTGTTCCCTGCAACATGCAAATATAACATCAGGAATCAAGATAGTGAGCTCTTCTGTGGTTTCCCATACAGTTAGGATGCAGAAAATGGCTATGAAAAGGTGTGCACTCCGGGTCATATGGAAGGGAAAAGCTTGGAGTGCTATGCACCAGGGAGAAGAGCTGTGGGGATGTCTCACAGCCACCTCATCCTGGCACAGATGCACACCATATGCTGCCCTTTATGGCAAAGAGCCCTTTGGTAACTGATCTAACCCAGGACATGGGACACTGAGATGTCATACCTAGCAGCTGGGAACTCCTGGGAGATGATGAAGTCATTTGTCACTGAACAAATTCAAAACATAGGCCCATACTAGTAATTGTGAAAAAAATTACCTCAGCCAAAACCAGTACACATGGTCACAGCCTCTATACTAGCTCCAACGAGGGTGCATAAAGCCCCACCACATCCCAGGACTGGGTCAGCCCCTGGTACACATCTGGGAAGAGTATGAGCATGGCTGGCATGGTGCAAGTGTGATGGTTATATGCCACTCAGCTCTGCATATCTACTCCCACCCCTCACTGTCTCACATTGCTGATCTCGCTGTGTGTGGGATGTGTAAATAGATTGTTTTCAAAAGGTCAAGTTGGAAAGATATCTAAAACATGAGCAAATACATGCAAATAGTTTTTCTTCCTTCTTGAAAGCCCATTCGAAAGATCACCAGTGCCTTCACCACACAACTTTCTGCTATCCTAGCCCAGAACACACCACCCTTTCAAGAAAACGTGCAGTGTTCCCTAATACTTTTTCACTGCAGAAGCAACTTCCTCCAAGCAAAAGCAAACTGTTCAGCAGAGATGTGGAACTATATAGCACCATGCAGCTTGTTTCTACACCTACCTATGCAATTCCAAGGTAAAGCTCCCACACATGATTATTGAACGAGCACACACCACACGGTTTGTCCAAGCACGGCACAAATGGTGGATCCTCAAATCCCTTTTCATCAGCCAGCCTGAGCACAGAGTCAAGGCAGTGGTATCTGGATTCAGCCTTCCAGGTAGGCAAAGTGCTCAGCTAGCCCAGTGGCTGCAAGGTTCAGTAGTCTCTGCCTCCTTCCCGGATCAGCACAGTGCCTGATCGTGAAAGATCAACTTGAGGAAAGCGTGTCATCTGAAAAAAAAAGATTTTGCACATTTCCTGGTGTCTGTAGTCAATGGAGAGCAAAGAGTTGAACAAACTGAATCCTCCTCTCTTCTGGATGGTGAACATGGGGACACAGGAAAGAATTTCACAAATATGGATGCTGCTAGTTCTGATCACCTCCTTTTTTCCTTTGGAAAGGAGAAAACCCATAATTTTCACTACCAGCATTATTCATTGTATGTGCCTCACTAGGAAATCTCTAGTCACAGTTGAAGCCTTACAGAATAAGTTTCAACTATATATACTACTTAATACTTATAGATACCTTACAGTACATATACTTAATGGCACCCATCACTTCATTTACGTCATGTTGGCCCTGGGGACCATGCCTCTAGGAGCTGCACACGTTAATGTGAGATAACAAGTAAGAAAACATGATGTT